GAAACCAAGCATGATATGATTCTATTTTAAATCAGTCTTATCGAGAAACAACATCCTCAAGGATTAGGACTGATTTTCTGAATCTCATTATACTGTATGTAATATGGGATGGGTTTGATTTATATCCAATTGATTTTTTTTTTTATTGGATGCAATATTGGTCTGATCTCCAAAAATACATTTGGTGGATCTTGTCCACCATTAACTGAGTCTGTTCTAATATGCATCATTTGCATTTTGACCAATGGGTCCTACTCACTATTTTATATAAATCTGATGAAACTCATCATCAAAACATATTAATATCAGTCGGCCCTACCCACTATCAAGACAACATTCTGACCAATGGATCCTACTCACCCTTTTTTTTATAAATGAGAGTAGTTTTATTAATTCAAATAACGAAAGTACAATCAGCCTAGGAGGAGGCACGAGATGTTACCTCCCCTGAGGACTGAACCATATATACTAAACATACCCAAGCCTGAACACAATTACAAAGTAGCCCAAAACAGATCTCCCCTTGACACCCCTTGCTTGGCCAGAGAATCAGCCATTGCATTTGCTGATCTGCTGACCCACTGAAACCTGACAGTCATATTTCTTGTCACCCATTTAACTTTCTTTAACAGATCCCTGTAGCCCCAACAAGCTGTTTCTGGACTTATCAGCCAGCCCACTATTACCTTGGAATCCCCTTCTACTATCAAATTGTTCACTCCAATTTGACTAGCCCTTACAGAATCACCTTCACCCACTGGTCCTGAAAATAAAGACAACATATTGCTGTCTTTGTCTCTCAGAATCCCTCCAATTCCGGATGGCCCTGGGTTACCTTGGCATCTGCCGTCGAAATTCAACTTTACCACTCCATCCGGTGGGGGTTTCCATTCAGCTTGTGATTTGTTCTTGGTGGATCCTACTCACCTTTTACAAGCCTTTGACTTGCAATTAGTCGATGGTGTGAATTTTTCTGAGAATAGTTGTTCATACAAAGAAATTCACCTTTGGTGGAGCCTTAACCAACCAATCCAGCCTCATAGCACTAGATCATGACTAGTTTGGTTAAGGGCCTCGTAAAAATGACTTTACAGGGAAACATCCAAACTTTGCTCCATCCCAATGTCTATTGTCTCTAGTAGATTGAGTGGGGTGAATATGATGAATCAGTTCAAACAAATGAGCCAGCCTTTCCCAGTCAAACAATTCCTCCTTAGTCTTAGGGTCCAACTTGCCCGTTCACGAATCAGCTCATAGATTTCTTTAATTGTGGCCTCATTGTAGGCCAAGTTGTACAAATTAGGGAACAGTTATAGTAGGGGCCTTGACCCACAACATGAATCCCTTCACATAATTTCACTTCCAACCTGAAAGATATTATAGTTTGATTGAGGAAGAAAAGGGATAAAAGAGTCGAGAGTTTACAGAAAAAAAAAGATAGGTGTGGTGGCACCCCATTCTGACATATATTACGGTGTCAAAAAGAAAGGAGAAACTACAAGTATGCCATCAGTTACAACTTAAGAAAAAAAAAACACTCTTAAGTCTCTGTTGAGCAAGAGCAAGAGAAGAGAGGAGAGGAGAAGAGAGAAGAGAGGAGAGTCGAGTGGACTGAAAACCCTCCAGAGTCCAGGGGGCGAGTGTAAGAGTTATTATTTATACTGGCCCAGTTGTACAATATAAACAAGAGAGAAATTACAACAGTACCCTTGTGGTAGTAAACCTGAGTACACAAAACAACTGTCAACAGTCTCTAACAACATAACCCCTCAAGTTGCATTGTATCATTCCCAACTTGGTACAGAGTCAACATATTGAGTACTAGTCACACCCTTTTTTGATAAGTAAAGTAATTTTATTAACAGCAGAGAATCAACAATACAAGCTTCCCATGGAGAGGTGAGAGGTTCACCTCATCCAAAAGTTACATTTGAGCCCAGAGTAAATGACCCCTATTAACCCCTTGCTTGGCTAGAAAATCAGCCATTCCATTGGCCGATCTCCTCTCCCATTGAAAATTCACTGTTAAATTGCTAATAAGCCATTTGATCTTTTAAACTCATCCCTGTATTAGTACTAATCACACCCTTGGTGAAGATATCACTTAGCTGATCAGTGGAGTTCACATAGGGAATACAGATCTCTTCACATTCAAGTTTCTCACATATGAAATGTTTGTCCACCTCTGTTTTGTCCTCTCATGCATCATGGGATTGAAAGCAATATTAATTGCCACCTTGTTGTCACAATAAAGTGACATTGGCCTAGGTATTTTAAATCTCCATTCAGTTAGAATATTCTTGATCCACAGAATCTCTGCCATGTCATATTGCATAACTCTATACTCAGCTTCCGCACTAGATCTTGCAACAATTGTATGCTTTTTACTCCTCCAAGTCACCAAATTACCCCTGACAAACATACAATAACATGTTGAAGATCTTTTGTCATCCACTGTTCCAGCTCGGTCAACATCAGTATAAGCTTCCATTATCAGGTTCTATGCTTATAGAAGTGAATACCTCTATATGGATGTTTCTTTAAATATCTAAGAATTTGTTCTGCTGCAGCAAGGTGAGTAGTTTGAGGTACATGCATATACTAGATTATCATCCCAATTGCATATACTAGCATATGCAATTGCATATGTGACAAGGGCTAATCTTCCAGTTCTAATAGCTTGTGATAGTCATCAGTAGGGAATCTTTCAGGAGATGGTGTACCACCCAAACTAGGTCTCCCACCTTGAAGGCCATCTTTCTCTGGTGTCTGTCCACCTAGGCCTTGTAGTAAGTGTTTGAAGCTTCTAGTTGTTCCTCGACTCTGGTGCAGATGTCTTTGTGGTGAGTCAGCATGCCATTGACCTTGATGATAGGTTTCACTTTCATGGGAAACTCTGTGAGTTTGAGGACCCAAAGGGTTGAACCCATAGACAATTTGATAGGGGCTGAGTTGGATTCTTTGGTAAGGGGTCTTGTTGTAATAAAGTTTAGCCAGAGGCAAGGAAGTGTCCCAAGATTGGGGAAATTTACTCATTCTCAGCAACCTCCCAACTTCATAAGTTTTATATTTAGCCTTGCCTAGAGATATCTCTAGAAGTGTCCAACAAACTTTCGATTTTGGTCTAAGATAATGGATTTGGGAACCCCATGGAGCCTTACCACTTCATCATATAGAACAAGTTGGGCTATGTACGAGGTGTCATTCATCCTTATAAACGAAATGAAGTGAACCATCTTGGAGAATCTGCCTACAACCACTAGGATAACATTAACGCCCCTGGGGGTGTGAGGTAGACCAAGTATAAAATCCATGTTGATGTCAGCCCAAGGGTGAGTTGGTACTGGAAGTGGCTGATAGAGGCTAGCATTGGAAGGTCCCCCTTTGGACATTTCGTAGACTCAGCAACGCTTTGACGTATCTATCTAAAATGGCCTTCACTGTGCATCTCCTGCAAGATCAACAATCTTGGCCTTATCCATATGGGCCTGTTATGGAGAATATGTTCAATTATGGTGAACTATTCTAATGTAGGACAAATACGGGGTCCTACAACTTTTAGACTTGGTGGTGGACTTCGTGAAGTGATTAATGATGATGAATGGATATAGAGCAATTAAAGAACTTGTTAATCACCAAAGAACGAGCAAGAGATTTGAAAGGAGAAAAACTCTCCATTCATCCAGCATTTAGCCTCACTCACTTTCTTTTTAGCTTTCCCTTTTACCAATCTTTGCAACATCCATTTTCCTTTTAAGTTCTTTGAAACCATTTTTTGTCATTATTTTTTATTAAATAGTTGGTCGTTTTAGGCCACATATCATTAGGCTCTTCATCTAGATTCCACCTTCCTTCTACTATTAGCTTGTCTTGAAATTGTACTACTTTTTATGCTTTCATATTCACCCACGTAATTCTTGTTGGCTACATGAATCCTGTTTTTGTCAATTTATTCTATTTAAAGACATATCCACTGTTAAATTATTAGTGCTTAAATCATTTCTACCCATGTCACTTCCCAAGAACACCCCAGCATGGGCATGAAATGACAATTCAGGATCCATGTTTGGTATAGTAGTGCATAGATGCCACAAATCCAGGTTTCTTACTACGGAGGTTTGTAATAATCTGTATGATCTAATATTTATCTTGAAATCATTCCCTTTGTATGATCAGGCTTGAGGTTCAACATCTATATATTTAAAATTTATTCTTTAGTCATTTCTTTCTTAATGCAATGCTTACTTTCATTACTGATTAAAAAATATATTTCTTTTATTGAACAGATTTGCTATGATTTTTGTATGTCATTTGCAGTTATTTTTGTTGTCTATGTTTCCCCATCCATGATATGCAGGAACCAATCAATACCTTAATCCTTTGTTTTGTTGGTTTCTTACACTTGTCCGTCTTAAGTTTGATTGGCATATTATTGCATTGTTAAGTTGGAATAGGAGAGTTTTCAAATTGAATTACATTTTGATTGGTGGTATAGGGTGTTTGGCAGTGTATGATCTTATTCAGTAATAGAAAGTAGTTATTCCAGCTCTCTCACATATAAAGTTACTATTGCTAAAGACAAGTTCTGAGAACATTGATTGTTTGCAATGACAGACAGTAGGTTTTGAGGAAAGAGAAAATGTCAGTGGAGAGTTTTTTTTGGTAAAAATGTCACTGGAGAGTCATGCTTCTTTCACAGGTCAATTGTCAATCTAATCCCCTAGGCCAGTTAATAGACATCATAAGAAATAGAATGCTTAAGAACCACTCCGTTGAAGGGTAGGTGATTGGTTAATTGGTAATCATAGGCCCTGTTTTATGGACGGCTCTCCTTTTTGAAATATATGAAACAGATATTGCCTTGCCTGCATTTTTTGGCTGTGCTAAATGAGTATTCAAAATTTCAGTCACGTTACTCCAAATACTTGTCTATTATTTCCAACTAAGACCAGTTGCACAGACCAAGATTTCATCCTTTTGGATTGTCAAATGACTTGCAGGGGGTGAGAAGGGAAGTTGGCAACCATGCCAAGGTACTCAACAGAAGATTGCTCAGGACCCAAGACAACACAGTACCCAACAGGGACAAAGTTAAAGATGATAAGATTGACTCTAAAACTGGAAGACCCCCAATAAACTCGGAGACTATTACATCTCTTTTGTCTTTAGAGGAAACGGGAAGGCTGTATTCATCAAATCAAAAAGAAGCATCTTCACTAACTATAACAGAGAGCAGAATGAGCAGATCAAGTGCAATGCGGTCCTCAAGCTTAACAGTTGACGGTGAAGAAGAGTTATCAGATAATTCTTGCAAAAGTAATGCTCTATTAAAAGAAGCAGTTGGGCACACAGAGGTAGAAGTTATAGCTGGTGCCTTGTTAGGTCTTCTTGTGAGTTTTGCTCTGTATTCTGTAGCATAATCATCTTATGAAAAAAAAAAAAAAAAAAAAAAAAGAAAGTGCCCAACGAGACAAAATGATCAATGTTTGTTCCATTTTCAATGATATTATTCATCTATGATTATTTGACCGTGCAAGCTACTCTATTGCATTACTGCTGTAAATCGACAACAGAACACTAAAACAGTGAACTCTGTATCGACAGAATGGCTAATATTCTATCATTAGTCGTAAAATAAAAATGAGAATGCTTCTCTTTATTGATAAGACCCTGATTTTGCATCTAATATTTACCCCACTTTGCTGTTTAATGTCGTGAATGTACCCGAGTCTTCCCACTAATTTGCTACTGTCATTAAAAAAATAAATAATACTGACATGGAGATCTAGCCATCTAGAATTTATGAGCCAAGTCAAGAATTGTCACCTATGCGAAAGATTAAATAGTATTAAACACTACCAAGAAAGCAAAAATGTAATGATACGCTTATTAGAATATCATTGCGGGTAAACTTCTGACACCCTCAACCACTCGCATCTCCGCCCCACACAACGTGTGACTGCCATATGTGCACGAAGTGAGGCATTCCCGCGTGCGGATTTAATGGGACGGCTGTTAGCTCGTTCAGGTAGCCCCAAAACAAATTCAAACTTCATTTTTCCCATACAACATTTTAAAAAATGACTTAGAAATAGAACAGTTTTGGCCACCGGTTTTTGGGTTGATAGTTTAACCGTTCGGTTTGAATGAATGGTCTGTTCTGGTAAATAAATTTAAAAAATAAAAAATGATTAAAATAAAAAAACGGTCAAAAATCATTGAATTGGTTGACGGTTTGACCGTTTGAGTCAATGGATTATTGACATTTTCAATGGTTTTTGGCCAAATATTGTGTTTGGGGTAAAACAAAACCCGTTGACCTGGGTGTACCTGGTAACAGTGAACTAGCCGGAGTGATTGCCGTTGCTGGAAATGGGGTTGGATTCGAGCTCGGACGGAGGGGAGTAGAACGAGGGTCATACACGATTTGAGGCAAGGTTTTCGAACTGCCATTGACTCGGAAAATTGGACTGTTCGGCCTGGGAACCAAACGAGGGTCATACACTATTCTAAATGAAGAGTTGTTAATGAAAAGTTACTAATAAAAGACATGTTTAAAAGACACTTTTAAATGAAGAGACACTTCAATGAAAAATTAATAATTAAATTAAAATACATATTTAAAAGAACACTTTTAATAAAAATACACTTTAAATAAAAAAATCATTTAGAGTAAGAAAAGCCACTTAGTGATGAAAGGTCACTTAAGATTTAAATTTTAATTAAAAATTATTTAAAAGAACTTTGGATAAATTACACATGTATTAGAATTTATAAGCATGTAAAAAATAAAAAGACAAAATTACCCTTACAAAACTTTTGAATCACATACACAAAAATAAAAGAAATGCAACAACTTTATCGTCTTGTAGCTGACTCCGTCTCATAATTCATCTACACAAATTATTAGACAATGTCATTCAAAGCTTCTTTCCTCCCATTACATTTCCGACTACATTATAGAAGTTATTTCTAACCAAAAAGCAGTCTGGTTCTTAAGGCTGCGTTTGGAAATGATGCAAATAAGTATGAATGTAAATATGTTGAGTTTAAAATAGTCAATATAAATTATAAAGTTGGGTTAGTTTTGCACTGACAAATTTATCTTCTTACCAAACAGACATTTAGATGTAATGGATGCAAACAAGAATTCCAATAAAGCATATGTTTTTTTTTATCAGAAGCCCACTTAAATGCAAATTTATTTCTTTTTTATTAATGTATTTTTGTATCTTATTATCAATGTAAATATGTATTGATTTGTCATTTGTCAATGCAAAAATGTAGTGTTGCACTGTTGCCAAACACACGCAAAAGAATGTGCATCATGGGGTCTTCGCCTTTTTTTTTTTCCTTTTTGAGCTTCCTTTTTCTTTTGCTTTGATCACAGTAATTGACACCTACATTAAAAACAATAGCTTCTACTAACGGTCTTTTCCTTTTCTTTTGTGAGGTATCTTCTTGAATTGTAGATATTATTCGTATGGAATCAGAGGTATCCTACATAAGTCTTAAAGTAGTCTTTTTATTTCAATGGAGTCCACAACAATATATACCTTCCAAAAATGACCAATCAACATGACTGATCTATTAGGATTTAGAATGAAACTCGGCCATTCCCTACTACATATATCTTAAGCACATAGCCAAGCCCCTAAAGATTCTTCGTCATAGTAAACAACAACAACAAATATGGATTCTTTTCCATATTTCCTAAAATATAATCATTTATATAGGTGGACAGCCTCCACCTGCAACTGATCAAGACCGCTCAACACTAATGACCCCACAAATCCACAATAAATACAACAACAAAAACAATTTTCCTGCTAACAAATTAGCAAAATGCACATGTGTCAATTTTAGATAATGATGATGGTAATGCTAGTAATAATATGTTTTTTTTTTATTTTTCTATATTTTTATTTATATAAAAATAATTATTATTTGTCACAGTTTTTTTTAGTTTAATAGGATGAATATATTGTTATCATGTGCTCTAAACCCAATATTATGATATTGTTAAAAAGGACATTATTGTACTATTTACATTTATTATTAATAAATGGGCTTTTACATGAATAGTTCAAAACATCTATGTCAAGAAAGTAGTATTCTTAAGTGTGTTAAGAATTTAAGATATGATTATCTTTGTACAAGATACTTAAATAGTTCCTAGTTTGAAGATTATTAAGAGAGCTTTGATAATCTGGATAGACCGGCACATATTATGCTTACCCTTTTGCGGTGATGCTCTCAAGTCACTAGTGTAGAGGCATTAAAATAAATATATGGGTGCTTATTAGAGAGCACCCTCATTAATAGAATAGTTATATGAAATATTTTGTCAATAACTAATTTTATCATCATCGTTGTGTAGATGATCCTTAGATCTGAAGCATCATGGATACCTTGTGCATGAGCATCCATAGTTTGACATAGACTTGTTCATGGGCCAGGCCGGGCTTTTACTATTCATTAAAGAAATATGTTAGGCCCGAAGCCCGAGCCCGAGCCCGAAGCTCGACCTAATAAAAAAATTAGAAATTTCCCTATTCAATAATCAATATAAATCAGAATTTATTTACATTAAAAAAATATATAAATTCAAAATTTATTTATATTAAAAAATATATATAAAGAAGGGAAAGAGGATGTGGAGAAGAAGAATTTGGTTAGAAAAAGAAGGGAAAGAGGTGAAAAAAAGAGGGGTATTCAACTAGGTTTTCTAGGTTTATTTATAGGTCGGGCCGGGCTATTTTGGCAAATCCCGAGCCCGGCTCGAATTTATTGCGGACCGGGCTTTTCGGCCCAAGGTTAAGCCCGCGGGCCTATATACCTGTTCAAGTCCGTCCGGGGACTAGGCCGGCCCGTCGGACCACCCGGCCCATGAACAGGTCTAGTTTGACAGTGTAGATACTTGTACCCTAATCAGGGTATATAAGGACACATAGGTCGGCTATGATAACTTGTACATGGAGGTACGTGAATGCACAAAGTGGAATTTGTCACTCTCCATGAGGAGAGGGAATGTCCTATGCAATTGAAATTAATGAATTGCCAAGTCCTTGGCCAACGCAATATGATTTATGAAAAGAATTCTAAGTTTCATCATATCAGTCATCATCAATTTAGTGGGACATATGATTGAACTAGTAGGGTTTAACATATTCACCATGACCCATTGTTCTTTTGGGACATTGTATGACAAAAGGATTCTATTAAGGTGGTCATGACATACTATTATTAAGTGTCACTCATCATGATTTGTGGAACCTAGCTATGTGCATAATGATCAATTATGCATGTCCAATGGATAATTTGTTTTAATTCAATTTAGTTGGTAGAAGTCCATCGAGTTTGGCATCGTTTGCCACTACCTAATAGTGTAGCACCTCAAAGGCCACACGTTAAAGGGCAAGATGCAAACAAAGTATGAGGTAAGTGTGTAATCACTAAGAGGGGTCTTAGTGAAGGGACCTAATTGTAATTATGAGAAACTTATGAAACAAGCTCTCCTAATTGCAATTGGAGAAGAGATGTATAAGGAGTGCATGGGGCATCCTTAGGGTTTAATTAAGTTTGTTATGTTGTAACTCTAAACCCTAAAAACAAACAAATTTCTAGCAAAACCTTAGAGCTGGTGTAATCTCCCTCTTCCTCTTTCTTTGTTGGATCGAATTCTAAAACATTTAGGAGCTTTGATCTACCACTACTTTGTGTGGAGGCTAAACAATTGAAAGGCTACAAAAAAAAAAAAAGAACCAAGGCAATTCTCTACACACCTTTCTTGAAAATCGATCTACATATAGATATATAGTTTTATTTATTTTAATTATGGTTTTGTACATTACCATGGACGTGATCTTGGTTTGACCAAGATTCTTCAAAATTTTCAAATTTATGCCGATAAATAATTAAAGAAACCACTAGAATCTTTTAGTGATATCTATGCCATCATCCTTGCTAATGTACAAGATTGGATCTTATTACTACAACTATAGCGATTTAGCTTTTCTTGAAAACACCATACCAAGATTCAATCTTGCTACAATCTTGGTGATTCTTGGTTTGCAAGAACTCTAGCAATTGCTGGATTAGGTTTCCCTGGACCAAGAAAGATGTTTTTTTTTTTTACAATTTTCTTATTCATGGGCAAAGTTGAAATAGATGTAGGGTTTTGTTTTTGAGCAAGGTTTGGCTGAATGCGATGGCTGTTCAACATGCTGTGGAATCAATGATAAGATTCCATACCACTATTTAAATACATGGGGCCCACACCTTTTACATTGAGGCCATGAATTTATTACTGATGTGGAGCCTCATCATTAGTTCCACAGTTTGTTGAACAATCATCGCGTTCAACTAATCCGAATTCTTTGTTTTTGTTTTAGAACAATTTGCAATTTTTCAGTTGTTGGAAAGGGGTGTTGATGGTTGATCCATATCAATATTAACTTTTCA